CAAATCATTGCAAAGAAATTGAGAATCTAGCAGACATACTCTCAGGAAAAGAATTAAGTTCAAATCTTACCATGGTAATTTTTGGAATTTAAAAACAATCATGGTGGCCAGCAATGTTAAAAAATTGTGTGTGAATTCTGATATAAAGTGTTGCTCAAGAGGGATGCAAAACTTGTAAAATAGTGAGGATCACAATTAGGGAACAAAACAAAATTTATGAGGGTAAAGAAAGACTCCCCTGTGTATGTAAATCAAGCTGAGGTGTGAGGCTTGCCTCTTGCTTTCTTTGTTAAAATACTTGGACTGTTCAGAATAGAAATGACAGCAAACACTTATGTATATAAACTGCATAAAAATGAAGAAATTTGTTGTATAAATTACAGGCTGCATAATGAAGAAAGAATTACTAAGCAAAACAGAATTTTGCAACTAGAAAAATGAAGCAATAGTTAAGAATGCATGCTGCACAAAATAGAATTTATAGCAATGAAAAACCCAAGCACGATTGTTCAAAAAGAGGAGTGCAACCAATGTTTATTAGAATTGACAAAGGACCATAAAAGCATGTACAAATTGCAATTTAAACAAAATTATGCAGCAACAGCCATGTACTTGCACTTACAACACCCATAAATTAAAAACATTGTGCATTCAAGTGCTGCAAAACTGTGAACACTTATGGTAAAAATAAATTGCATTAAAAAGGGAACCTATGGTGTGCTGAAAAATTATGCAGCAAAAGAATCAAAAATGTCTATGGCAATTATGTATGAACTGAATTTTAGCACTGAGAAGTAAGAAATAGGCAACACTTTATTAAACCAAGATAAAACTTGTACAGACAAATTTAACAACAGTAAAGGACAATGAGTTTTAAAAAAACTTAAGAATAGGAATTTGGTCACTCAAAATAATTTGCAGTGTGGAAAATGCAACAATGGAAAGAGCATATGAAAGAGAAAACATAGTATGTTGTGCATACACTACTCATTACAAACAAACAAAAATTGCACTCTTGTTCCCAGAAAATTAACATGCACAAGTAACATACATTCCTAAAAATTTGACAATGACCAATTTAAAAATTCAAATAAAATTTATACAAGGGAGAAATTCACAGCAAAGTAAATAATCCACGTAAAATAAATTGTATTACTGTTAAAATCATGTTCAAGAATTAGTGACAGTGAACAAAACTTAGAGGACTGCAAACAAAATTTTTTAGAATAGGTTCAAAACATTGTTGTGCAAAAATTCATAAGATATGAAAGGCATAACTCAATAAAAGTGACACAATGCATAGGTTTGGTGTTGCCATTGGTATGCTGTCAATTTATCATATATCATTGAAATTTTTTAGCATCTACAGCACCCAGTGAATTAAAATAATATGCCCCAAAAATTGTTTAAAGCTGAGAACACTAATGAACCTTCAGGTAAAAATGAAAGTGCACCAAAAGAGAAGAAAGCTACCAAGAATTTGTGCATATTGTAGAAACAATGAGTAAGACCAATTTTGAGAGATTTACTCAAGGAGACTTATATATCAAAAGGAATAACATCATCTATGATGACTGTGTGTGAAAGAGAAATTAGCAATGAACAATAAGACATTACAGTACGTCATATAAAAAAATGAATTATGCAATGAAAGGGATCCAAACAGCAAAGAACATAATTTATGCAAAGTTAAATCAACACCTGGGTCACCCAAAATCACTAAATAATATATAAAAATATTAACAAAGATGACACAAAAACCAATGGTGCAGAACAATGAACTTAATTACCACCCAAAACATGCATGATGTGTATTTAAATGACCCAATACCCATGATTTGAATGCTAAGCAAAACATAATAATAGCATAAATTTGCAAACAAAAAGATAGTGCAATTACAGCGTCACTGTTAAAATGATTTTCAAGAAATTTCAGTGAATAAAATTAGAGGAGTATTCAAAAATTTGCAAAATATCTCAAAGCACATCCAAGGGTCATTCATCGGTGCAAAAATAGAAAAGGAGAAAAATTTTGTGCCCTAAATTACGCACAGTACACAACAAGCATAAAAACACAAATTATCTTCCTTTTCACAGCTTGGAAATGCACCCAAAAATTAAAATGGAAACAACATGCTAGCAAGGACCCATAGAGGATACAGAACAAATGCAAAACTTGGGAGGATAAATTGCACAGCACACAGATGCAAGAATGGAGAATAAGAGGGATGAAGAAGTGTACCAAAAACAGAGTAAGAAAGTGCAGAATAATGTACCTTTGTGACGCTTCAGAAGCGTAGAGAGAAATCAAGGGTGGAGAGGATTCAAAAGATACAAGTTTATGTGAATGGGTGTGAAGTGTGATCAATAATGGAGCATTAAAATAGAAAATACAGAGACATGGTGAGTAACTGCACAAGTTATCACCAACCTCTAGGCTTTCATGCTTATTTTTTTTTAAATATTAAACTAAAATTTAAAAAATTATTATTATTATTTATTTTTAAATATTATTATAATAATATAATATTATAATAATATTATTAATTTTTAATTAATTTTTTATAAATATTTTTAGATTTTTTTAATTACTAATAAAAAGCTATAATGACAAATAATTAAATATTAAACATGTTGGGTCTTGTTCCTTCTTTATGGGCACTTAAACTCTTCAGCAAGGGAGGATAAAACAGAGCAAGAGCAGACTTGTGAAGAGGAAATATCATATCAAGGCAGCCATAGACGTGAAGTATGTCTGCTGCCCAAATTGTATTTGCTGCAACAAAATGACAGCATTTTCTGGCTTGCAAAACATTAGTTTAACAATAAATAACTAAATAAATAATGGTTGTTGGATGATTGGGTTGAGTCCTGCCCCAAACTCTAACTTGTACAACTTAGGAAACTTTTTATTTTTATTACTTAGTCCCGGAAGTGTTTCCTTCCCCCCTCCCCCCAAAAGCATATTTTAAGTGTAAGGGAAGAGGTTTCAACAAAAGCTTTCGTGATTTTTTTTACTCTTCCTCCTTCCAATGATTCTTTTATTGTTCTTTTCTGCAAAATTGGTTGAGCCTCAAGCTGTTGCATGCACTCTTGCATTTCTTCATCACTCTCCTCATCCATTTTCATAATTGCATTGGCTACCACCTTTCCTAATGGATCTGTAGAAGTGTTTTGCTTCAAAGTTGTTGCTGCAATAAGTGAATCCACTGTATCAATTCTAAAGCAAGTATCCTTGTCATCTGAGTGCTGCATTGCCTCAAATACCTTGAATGTAACTTTCTCATCATGTAGGCACAAAATTAATTTCCCTTGTTGCACATTAATTAACGCTCTTCTAGTGGCTAGAAAAGGTCTTCCAAGGATTACAGGCACTTCGGAATCTTCATCCATATCTAGGATAACAAAATCTACTGGAAAAATTAGCTTGTCCACCTTCACCAACACATCCTCCATTATACCATACGGGTACTTGATAGATCTATCAGCTAGTTAGAGAGCCATACTTGTATTTTTAACTTTACCAACTCTCAATTTCTTCAAGATGGAGAGCAGCATTAAGTTGATGCTGGCCTCCAAGTCGCATAAAACCTTTCCAATGATCACATTCCCTATAATACAAGGGATTGTGAAGCTTCTCGAATCTTTCAACTTTGGAGGCAACTTTTGCTGCAATATGGCATTACATTCCTCAGTAAGAGTGATTGTAGCATCCTTCTTCAATTTCCTCTTCTTTGAAAGCAAGTCCTTCATGAACTTGGCATACAAAGGTATTTGCTCTAATGCTTCTGCAAATGGTATATTTATGTGCAGCTTTCTGAAAATGTCCAAGAATTTGGAAAATTGTTCTTCCTTCTCTTTGTTCTTAGGGATGTATGGATATGGCAACTTAACATAGGGAGGGGGAGTTTGAGGCTTGCACGAGACTTCCAAGATTTGTTTCTTGGTTCTATTTTAGTATGCCTCATCCACCACCAACTTCTGCTTAGGCCTAACTTTCTCTTCTGGTTTTTCTTGTTCAGGCTCACTCTCCCCATTTTTATTTTCTGCAGTATCTCTGGCCTATCTTAAATTTGAGTTGTCCTCTTTCTCATCTTGTTTTTTCTTAAGTTGTGGTTCCACTATCTTCCCACTTTTGGTAGTGATGGCTTGGCAATATTCTCTTGAATTTTTCACTATATTCCCAGAGAATGTGCCTTAAGTTGGTTCACTGATTTTTTTAAAAATCTACCCCATTTGGTTTTCTAGATTTTTCATAGAAGCTTCTTGGTTGGCCATCCTAGTGCTCGTGTCTTGCATAAACAAGTTGGTGGTTTGCGTTAGTTGCAAAAGTTCCTTCTCAAGGTTAGATACCTGATCTGGAACTTGGGGCTATGAGGGCTGTTGGATGGGTCCAAAATTCTGAAAATTCTGCTGTTGATAGTACCCACTTTGCTGGTTCTATCTTTGTACAGGTGGCGTATAGTATGATTGATTTGGTGGCCTAGTATTTAAGCTAGAATTTGAACTATTGCTGTTGAGGTGGATAAACATGTTTTTGCTAAAAATTCTGCTGTTGCCAAGCGGGTTTGAATTGAAGTTCTGTTTCCTTGGCATGTTATTCATGAAATTCACCTGTTCAGCTCTTTGTTACTGAAAATACTTAACTCTGTCTTCACTTGGTCCCTCATGATATTCCTCTTGGCTGGTAGGGGCTACATAGTATACTGGTTTGTTCCCTTCTAACTTCATGTTTCAAGTTTGGCATTGAGGGAATTGAGTTTCTATGACATTAATTTGTTCTGAGCCAGCAATGCATCCAATGTGTTCAGTTCTAGCACACCTCTTTTTAAAGAATTTATTCCCCTATGATTGTAATTGTTGGATGCCATAACTTCAATAAGTTAGTGTGCTTCTTCTAGGACTTTTGAGCAAATGAACCTCCAGCAGCTGCATCTACCATTGTTTTTGTTGCTACATTCAGCCCATCATCAAAAGTTCTCAATTGAAGCCTTTCAGGTAGCTCATGGTAAGGGCAGCATCTCAATAGTTCTTTGAATCTGTCCCATGCCTCTTGCAGTGTTTCATCTTCCCTTTGAGAAAAAGCCAGAATTTCTTGCCTCAACTTGGTTGTTCTAGAGGCTGGAAAATACTTTGTTAGGAATTTGCTTTCTAAATCATCTCCAGTAGTGATACTTCCTTCCAGTTGGGATAACAACTAGCTCTTTGCCTTATCCCTTAAAGAAAATGGAAAAAGAGATAACCGGATAGCCTCATCACTCACACCATTCATTCTTATCATTCCACAAATGGTCAAAAAATTCTGAATGTGCAAGTGGGAATCTTTAGAAGGATGTCCAACAAATTGCTCTTGCTGGACCACTCTCATAAGGTCAGGTCTGATCTCAAAGTTATTTGCTTGAATGGGAGGTTGAACAATGGAGGTGGGGTTTCCTCTTGGTCTTGTACGTGCATAATCATCCAAAGTCCTTTGTTCTTCATTGGGATTTCCTGCCATTTCTGCAGAATTCTGTTCTTGTGCGTCTTTTTCTTTTTCTTTTTCTTTTTCTGAAGTTTGTCCCTTCTTTTTGTTCTTTTTCTTGAAATTAATAATTGGCTGATCAAGTTCTGGAGTTGAATCACTCTTTTTGATCTTCTCCTTGCCTTGCATCAACTGTTTCAGCTGCTGTACTTAGAAATTTCCTACGAACACTTAAAACACAACATAATTTATTAACCTAAGCTTGCAAAATCTCATTATAATTGATATTAACAATTAATCTCTGGCAACTGCGCCAGAAACTTGATAAACTTTTTTGGCAAGTGCACCAAATCGTTGAAGTAACAAAAGATTATCGTCCACAGGGATTAACACTAAATACCAAACCACAAGACTGACACTAGTTAGGTCAACAAAAATAGAGTAGAAATAGAACGAAAATTAATTAAGTGCATAATTATAAAAACTAAATTAAAATGCTGGAATTTAATTGTATAATACGCAGAATGAGAAACTAAATTTGGAAACACAAATTAAACTAACTGCAGAATGTAAATACTGTGATTACTGAGATTGAGTCTGATAACAATTTAAAGCAGGTTGAGTTCAGAGTCCCTCATCCCTTTCCCTTTGTATACAAATAAATTTATAACTCAAAATACAACTTCATCTAATGGTTAGATTTTCTAAAATACCCAACCCCAATTCCTTGGTAATTCGTTCTAAAATGAAATTAGTGTCCTAATTCCTTAGATACAACTAAAGACATTCAGCATTAAGAATTAAATCTATTGACCACATCATCACAAATTTATATTCCTAGATAATTTCTAATGAGCAAATTAATCCCAGTTCAAGAAAGCTTACTACTTTCCAGTAATAAAATCCTTTTCATCAACCCCATTCACGTAAATTATCAATTATCCCTCTTGTAGCAATTAAATTAATGCATATAATTCACAAGCAATTTCTTCAATTTTTGACACCAAAACTGAATTAAATTCCTTCTCAAGTTAGTGTTTCACTTTTTACTGCTCAAGTGTTTTGGCTTGTGTTTGACTCTCTTCAATGCCTTTGCTGTTATCTTTCACATAGATTTGGTAAATTTCTACTTCACACTATCCATTCAATCAGTTATAATCAAGAAGGCTTTATAAAGGTTAAAATGTGGTCAGGGTTTAGGTGGGAAAACAATTTGGTCACTGGCTGTTCCTTATATCAGAAAAAACATGAGAGATAACTTAGAAAATCTAAGAAATTGAAGAACTATTTGCACTCCTCATTGGGTATTTTTCAGCTATTCTTAATGACTGTTACAACACTTAAATCTCTATTTTGGATTTCTCTTTTCATTTTGTTTTTGTTTTCTATTTTTTCTTTTTTTTAAATTTTTTTCCTTTTTCTTTTTGAAGTAAATTGAATGGTACTCAATTTGAATACTTACTAACTGCAGCAATTCACCAAAATGGCTCTCTCAACATATATAATTATACACCCATATACAATTTCCCAACCCCAAATTCTTTGGTAATTTGTTCTAAAATGAAATTAGTGTCCTAATTCCTTAGATACAACTAAAGACATTCAGCATTAAGAATTAAATCCATTGACCACATCACAAATTTCTATTCCTAGATAATTTCTAATGAGCAAATTAATCTCAGTCCAAGAAAGCTTACTACTTTCCAGTAATAAACTCCTTTTCATCAACCCCATTCACATAAAACAAGGAAGCATTAAGTTCAGAATCAAGATGTTAAATTAAAGCATGTACCTTGAGCTATATCCAATGTTAGTTCATTGCAAAAGGCAAAGGTATAAGTTAATTCTCACTCAATCCAAAGATATCTAGCTCGACATAATGCAAGGAGATAATATAAAACTAAAATATATTGCAAATACTAAATTCATGTTTACAGAAGAGCTTATAGCAAGTGGATGAAATGAGAAAGTCATTGTTCTATTACATAAACCAGAGAAAAGGAGATGAAATCCATGTTCCCATAAGAATCCTCTAGCAAATATGTAAAAAAAAAAAAAATACTTTAGCTATCATATTCTACGTAAGCTGTATGTAAAACCTAGGTTTTTGCGCTCTGGAATCTAAAAGACAGAAAAATAAAAGATGCTTCTTTTCAGAATCTTTTTGCTTTTATATGCTCAGTTAGCACGTGTCCCCACAATCAGGAATCTGTGTCCCCATAAATGAGTCCTGCAACATTCATCTTTAGCTCTTTAAGTCCAATTGCAAATTTCTTTCTAATCCCTTTAAAATAAAACTGTCAGCCATCAGAATATGAGTGATTCATGAATTTTCCAACAAATACAACATTTCATTGAATTTCTCAATTAATTGCATTAACTTATAATTTAAATTCAATGAAATATGTCTAAAAACCTTTAATTTTCTAGATGAGTTAGTGACTCATCAGATACTGCCAAGTACTATCCTTGCTCCTAATTTTTAACCATAGACTAAGGTGATAAGACTTTAATAGAGGAATATGGATGATTGAGCTATTTTGAAATCTCATCCTCTAAGAGTTATTAGCCATAACTTTGTCAATCCTCTCCCTAACATTCCCTCTCTGCCAAGTAAAGGGGTTTCCTTTAAAATCCAAGTCCTAGAGCCCACAGTAGCTAAGGCAATCAACAAATTGATTAAGGAGGCTAAGGTTAATAAGTCTACCTCTTGATTTCTCTTTCTTCAACAAAATGGAATTGAAGTCCCCTGCTTCTCTTTCTCTAACAGAATGGAATTGAAGTTCCTTGGTACACACCAGGGACATTTAATTGTATTACTAAACCTAGTAAGGGACTCCCATCATTGGACTCTAGTACCTTCCTGAGGGCTAACATAGACAGAAAAAAGGACCCAATCCCTCTGACCACTAATCCTTAGGTGAATAAAGTATTTATTTTTATCTAAGACAGTAACTTTAATTTTTTGGTGTTCCAGCAACACCAAACACCCCCAGCAAAGCCTATAGCATTAATCCTAACAGAATCATCCAGGTTAAATTTCTTAATAACCAAATCATCCCTGTTCAGATTAATTCTAGGTTCAAAGAGAGCAATGAAGACTAAGCTATGAACTTTAATCAGACCATTAATAAGCCTAGAAAAGGACTTACCCCCAGCTTCCCTACAGTTCCAGAATAAGCAATTCATAGTATCAATTAAAGATAGAAGGAGCATCCTCAGGATGCTGGTGGAAATTCTATATCATTATCCTCCATGTTACACTTAAAGACAACAAAATTATCATTGTTATTTCTTTTGTCAAGATTTATTTGAACTGGAAACTCTAGATGTCTTTAAGTAGCATCCATAGCACAAAAATTTTGCTCCTTCCAAGGAAATCCAGAGTTAAGACCTATGAGGTCTTGAATAGAATAACTTGAATTCATCTTATCTTGTAAGACCTGTTGGTAAGACTTCATTAGCATACAGATTTCTTTATTCTCCTTACTTAAATCCCTTTTCTGAACTTCCTGCTCATTATTACTATTATTAGGCTTGTCTAGTTGATAAGCCATACCTTTACCCTTTCCTACATTACTTGGTCTAGGGTTAGGTTTGGCTTTGGTCTTTTCCTAATAGGGTCAACAACTTTGATAGTAATCAAGGGTTTATTGGGTTGCTTAATTGAAGCTGGAGCTTTAGGGCTAGAGGTTTTACTCTTGGGGGAAGGGGGAATGTTGTAATATGAGATTTAACATTTATATCCTGTTACAGGTCCTGATTGGGGGTTCCTAAAATACCAAACCTAGATCCTGAAGTAGCCTTTTTATTTATCATATTTTTGGAAGATGTTCCAATGTTTAGAGGAGGGTAAGGTTTTCTCCTAATCTATTTTTTCATCAACATCTAAAGTCCAAATTGGTCCTTTTTTGGTTTAATCTCATTATTAGCAGAATCTAGAAGCATATCCTAGCTTATACTAGATTCAGTCCCCCACAGAATCCTTATTTTCTACAGTGTTATTAGGAGTATTACCCTCAATTTCTCTCACCTCCTGACAATGTTTAGGGTTCTCAATACAATATTCTTGGCAATGACCATACTTACCACAACTAAAGCAAATCAGATATAATTCCTCATACTTCACCTTGAATTCCTGACCAAGGGCTTTAAATGCAGAGACTAATCTTTTTCTAAGGTCTATTTCAATACAAATTCTATCAAATTTTCCCCTAGATTGTAGCAATGTATAAGGGTCTACTTTTAACATAGACCCCAGACAAGATCCAATCTGCCAAAGAAACTTATTATTGTAAAGTTCAAATCTTAACCCATGTAGCAATCTTCCTGAGGCTATAATCTTTAGTCCTGAATAGAGATCTCCACCTCTGGACTAAAAGGTAATGATCCAGAATCAACCATGACCCTTCAAACAGGCTAATTTGCAATCTTCCGTACTATTAAATTTAACTAAAAAGAATTTGTTATTTAAGTCTAAGACTGACAAAGATCCATTTTTTCCTTAAAGGTTACATAGTTTCTAGTTTAGGAAATTAAAGCTGATCATTTTACCTAAAAGTTTTACTATCACGGTGCACCTCCAAGGGGTACACCAACTCTCGTAGTCCTCTAGAGGGATCTTAATGTCAAGACATAGATTTTGA